AAAAGAACGGGGCGTTACAGTTGGTATCAGAGCAAATTAAGAGTACTAATGATGGGTGCCACTATTATGCAGGTGAGTCGAGGGAGGTGACGAAGAAGGGAAGGGGCCGACCTCGTCGTGAGCCCACCCTAGGGGCCCTACGACGAGCCCCAGGATTCCACCATGTACCACTCGCTGCATTTCAAGGGCCACCCCCGTGTCACACTTTCCCCCTCCCGTACAGCTGAGACACGCTGCTGGTCCATCGGCAACCCATGCAGAGCAGTCCGGCGTACAGCAGGAGGACTTTAACCAACTATGCAGAGTAGTTGAGAGCCTAGTCACCATGATTAGAGATAGAGAGTTGCAGTCAGAGGCAACATCGGTGCCACAACAAGGGGTTCCCATAAGGGTAGTGGATACGAGCAATATTGAGAAATACCAAAGGCTGAACCCTCCTGCCTTCAATGGGGGTTCTGATCCACTGGTGGCGGAGGATTGGATAAAGGAGACAGAAAAATTATTCGAAGTGATGACTGTGACTACAGAACAGAGGGTACAGCTGGCTACATTCATGTTAAGAGGGTCCGCTGAACACTGGTGGAAATTAAAAAGAGGGGCTTTGGTCCCACCAATCACCTGGGAAGTGTTCCTAGAAGCTTTCAATGCAGAGTATTTCCCAGATTTTCTGAGACAGCGAAAGGAATCGGAGTTTACTGAACTTAGACAAGTGAGGTTGTCTATGGTGGAGTACGCCGAGAAATATATAGATTTGGGTCGGTTTGCGCCCGAAGTCATGATGAATGAAACCAAGAAGGCCCGAAGGTTTGAGAAGGGGTTACGGTTAGAATTGTATCACCAAGTGGCTATGTTTGCATTGCCTACATATCAGATGGTATTGGAGAAGGCACAGTTGATAGAGGCACTGTATAAGGAACAGATTGATAATAATAAAAGACCCTCCAGTTATAGACGACCCCCACCATCTTCTGGTCAAACAGAGAAGAGGCAGAGAGTGGTTCAAGAGGCAGTCCCGAGTCATCAGATGGCCCCGAGCAGCATGATGTGCCCACGGTGTGGTAAAAACCATGGAGGTCGGCCATGTATGAGTGGTCAAAGCTGCTATCGGTGTGGGAGCACACAACACTTCGTACGAGATTGCCCCCTGCTGAGAGAGTCTGGTCAACCGTTGGTTCAAGGGCGGGTGTTTGCCATGATTGTTCCGGAGGCGGCCGCTACTTCAGGAGTAACACAAGGTATACTTTATATTTCGAATATTCCTACTAGAGTACTAATTGACACTGGTGCCATACATTCATTTGTATCGCCTAGGTTCGCATCTAGACTAAGGATAGAACCTCGGGGGTTGGACTGGGCATTGGTAATATCTACGCCAACTAATGGTGATTTATGTACTGATGTAATGTTTGACTCTTATAGGGTAGAGATAGAGGGGAGGAAGTTAAAGGTAGACTTAATTTTGCTAGACATACAAGATTTTGATGTAATACTGGGAATGGATTGGCTTGCGGCTCACCACACCCATGTAGACTGTTTTCGCAAGAGGGTAGTGTTTAAATTGCCAAACGAAGAATCTGTTTCTGTATGGGGAAAATCAATGAATAAATGAGTGTTACGTTGAAAAATATGTTAGTATGAATATATGCAAGAATTACCGTTTATCTATGTCCTTGACAGGGAACGAGGGTAGGAGACTTGCACTCCAGGAGATACCAGTGGTCAGGGATTTTTCGGACGTATTTCTGAACGACCTGCCGGGGCTGCCACCCAATAGAGAGGTCGATTTCACAATAGAACTTCAGCCCGGCACCCAGCCCATTTCCAAGGTTCCCTACAAGATGGCGAAGTCAGAACTAATGGAGTTAAATACACAGTTACAAGAGTTGCTGGATAAAAAATTTATTCGGCCTAGTGTGTCACCGTGGGGGCCCCCTGGTATTGTTTGTTAAGAAAAATGATGAGACTATGAGAATGTGTATTGATTATAGAGAACTGAACCAAGTGACAATAAAGAATAAGTATCCATTACCTAGGATCGACGATTTATTTGATCAGTTACAAGGGGCACAATTATTTTCAAAAATAGATCTACGTTCAGGGTATCATCAGCTATGGGTAAGAGCCGAAGATATTGCTAAGACGGCGTTCCGTAGCAGGTATGGACATTATGAGTTCCTGGTGATGCCTTTTGGGTTAACGAATGCGCTGCGGTGTTTATGGATCTGATGAATCGGGTGTTCCGACCCCTACTGGATCGCTATGTCATTGTCTTTATAGATGACATATTGATCTATTCGAAGGATTCGGGGGAGCATGCAGAACATCTAACAACTGTGCTAGGGATGCTCCGGAAAGCCAAATTGTATGCCAAGTTTAGTAAATGTGAGTTCTGGTTGGATCATATAGCATTTTTGGGCCACATTGTGTCGAGAGATGGGATATCGGTGGACCCAGCCAAGATAGAAGCAGTGGTGAAGTGGGAAAGGCCTAAGACTGTGACAAAGATCAGAAGTTTCTTGGGGTTGGCGGGGTACTACCGTCGGTTTGTGCGAGGGTTCTCGAGTATTGCGACACCTCTTACCAAGTTAACAAAAAAGAATGTAAAGTTTGAGTGGGATGAGAAGTGTGAGAGCAGTTTTCAAAAGTTGAAACGCAGATTGACTACTACCCCAATGTTGGCCATTCCGTCGGGGGAAGGTGATTTTGCAGTGTATAGTGACGCATCTCATGTGGGGTTGGGGTGTGTATTAATGCAACGGGGGAAGGTTATAGCATATGGGTCTCGATAGCTAAGGACACACGAACGGAATTATCCAACACA